GGTCTGACAAAGCCACCCTGAGAGCCTGTGCTGAGCAGTGACCTAGCTCCATGAGGGCAAAAATGATGAAACTACATATTTGTAGTCGATAAAAAAAGAGCCTAAGACATTCATCAGTGCTTGAACGAGCTCCGAGGTGAATTCCAGGCTAATCTGTCTGCTTTATAACCTAAATTATAGACATGCCTGTTCTACACGATGGGACCATCACAGAACCCTGCAGAATATGTCATTCCATACGGCACTTCTAGAAAGAGGAATGGGGGTAGGAGATTAAACTTTTAAATCAAATAAAAACTTAAAATCTGTTCAATGAATGTGACTGAAGCAGCAAATCTAGAACTACACTACCTACGTACAACTGACTTCTTACACAGAGCAGTCCAGAAACATGACAACTGAACAAAAACATGAGATCAACAGCCAGTTCTGATATCCAGGGTGCTAGCAAGGCCAGTTTCAAGAAAAGAATTAAAAACAAACAAAGGAAAAAGAAAAAAAAAAAGAAAAAACCCCAAACCAAACCAACAAACCCAAGGAAAAAAAAAAAACACCAAAAAACCCCAAGAATTTAAAAATACTTCCATGTCAAAATACATCAATCTCCCTTTCAAAGTGGCAGACCACAGAGGAGAAGCTTTCACTTTTGGATACTGAAGGGCAAAGACAGCATAAAGCATTTCAAATAGTGTTGAGTATAGAGGCAACCAACTTGAGGGTATGTCAGTGCCCTCTGGGAACAAAAGCTTGTCTCCAGAAAATGAGCAGCATCCCCAGTGCACTTTTGCACAGGCCAAAACCATCTTTTCATTACAAGTGACATCTCTGTTTGTAGTGAGTTTGTGCTCCATGTCTGTGAGTTTAATCATATTACTTCATCCTGCTGTCACAGTTGATCAAACAGCAAGGCTGAACTGGGGGATTAAATTGTTATTTTTAAGTCTAGAGAATGCGTTTTAAGAAATAAAAAAAATAAAAAAATTGTCAGGGCAATCCAGAGAAATATTGCTCAAATGGAGCACCAGCAGGACCTTGGTATACAGAGTTGTCATCCAAACCTGTATGTTCCTCAGTTCCTGGCGCAGTGCAGCACCATGAAACTCTGCAGTAATGAAAGGAGAACGGAAGAAGAAGGGTAAGAGGCATGCAAGGCCAACACCTGCAGTAGAGGAGAGGCAGGAGAGCTCCTACCAGCAGGGAGAATCTTCAGTGCCAGGGGAGATCATGCACTGGGAGGCAAACAGCTGTGGAGGCAAAGCAGCTGTGGAAGATAGTGAAGCACACACTGCAGCACGGACAACTCAGCCCATGTAAAGGGCCATTGACTGCACCTGAGATCAGTTAAAGGTTGACCTCACTGAAAGATGAGACCAAAGAGAGAAAAAGAAAGACTGATGGGAGCACTGACAGAAGCACCTTCTTTGTGTGGTGGTAAAACAATACAAGTAAGGAGCATGATCTGGTCACTGCTCTGTAATAGCCTACAACCACGTGTTTCTGCCATCAGATACCAAGCTTCAGCAGAGCCTGGCAGCCAAAGACAGCAGTAGACAACCTTAGCAGGGGCAGCTGCTTTCCCCAGGTATGGCTCTGCAGGGTTGCACAGTCCTCTCCAGAGCATGAGCCTGAATGCAGGGAGCTTTTTAGGGCTGCAGGGCTTTTTCCAGGGCTCTCGTAGATGACTGTAGAACGCCTTACATCTATCTACCTGTGGTTATGGTCTGCAAGACTGCCCTCCAAATCAGATCTTACAGATTATATTGAATTAATTTAACCTGTAGGATCATGTAATTGGTAATACACATAATCTCTTTTAAAAATTCATAATCACTTTCCTAAGTGGTCAACACCAAGTACTTCTAAGAAAAATAGAATAAGCTTTCCTACACTTTGCTAGTTAAAAATTTTGTAAGACTCAAAATGAGGCTTAATTTCTCTTTCCAAATGTATTTCAGTTGTTACACAGATAAAAGTGTTAGATAGATCTTCAAATATTATTCTTTGCTATGTTTTTGCTCTCTTTTTTAGTCTTGCTTAGTGTTCAACTTCCATGACATACTACAGCAATACTAGTCGTAAAGCTGTAGTAGAAGAGTCTAAAGAAATAAGCGGGGCAAGGCTGGCAGGGAAAGGAAATATTTTTTATTAGACAAACTGATACTAATATAGTAAATGAAAAATGCATTTCTTTGCCTCATTTTTGAATTTGCCAGTTGTTTTCATTCTGTGCCCTTGGGCTCTTAGAGAGTAAAATGAAAAGCACTTCCTGCTTCTTCTACACCCTTACTGTGTTTTAGGTCATTTTTGTAGTGCCCTTATTTATATGCCTCTTTTCTAAAGTGAACAATCCCTACCCTTATGGGTTTTCTATGCCCTGAGCACTTTGTTTTGCACAGTATTGTGACAAGTCAGTGATGGTTTGTGAATCGGTAATACCATAGGTTATTGTATTTCCGTATTCCAACAGCCTGGTGACTTTTTGTCTGACAGTGTGTTTGTGGAACTGCCTGCATGGATCCCTTGGTCACTTCCATGAGTTAATCGAGAGCAGTTCCGTAAGACAAAGAAATACTTTAAATATTGCCTTTCTAAACATGGATTATTTTGTCAGGGTGAAATATAAGTAAATTCTTCTGAAAGATTAATTCAGATACATTTTTGTAATCTGAATTTTTTCTCCCTTTCTATTTCTTCTCTTCCATATCATGAACAAATATATTAAACATTGGACCAAAACCCTGCTGTTTACCTTCTGTATTGATGAGAGAAGGAACAAGAAAACAAAAATAAACCAAAAGGCAGAAAATAACTAGATTACTTTCACTGGGTTTCAAGCACAATGGATTCTGCCACATTCCAGTGCCAAACAGAGGTGCTACTTATATCATTCCTTCTTAATACAGTAATTCCCACTTTCCTTACATGTATTTTTCCAAATAGAAATAATTTCACCTCGTATCTAAGAGGAGCAGAACAGTTTGTTCTGGGGAAGGCAAGGCAATGAAGAGAGAAAAGAAGAGGAGAAAAGAGGAGAGGAAACAAAAAAAGGAGAGGAAAAGAGAGGAGAGGAAAAAGAAAGAAAAATAATTCAGACCTTATAATTTATAAAGCTGCTAGACCTTAGTAATAATTAAAGCTACACAAATTACAACCAGAAATTTAATGGGCCACATCATTCTGTAATTATCAAAGTTTTTGCTATTATTTCACCCTTTGCCTGCAAATAGCTAAAAATGTATGATTCTCTGCAACTTCCATTTTTTGTGTGTGTATTATGAAAATACCTGTGTCTTTCATTAATCTTTAGGTAATATTTAATTATTGTTTTATCTCTATCAGTATAGCATAGAAGAATAAATATTCCATTTTCTCTATTAAGAATGAAATTAAAATTCAATTTCTAAGATGTAATTTTGACAAATAATTTTAAAAGCAGTAAGACTATCATTTTGAATTACATAACAAATAATTTCATGTCTTTCAGCACACAAAAGTCAAGGGTCATTTTTTTAGTAAATTCATCTCAGTTTTGCAATGCAGCTCATTATTCTGTTTGTCCTGTCTTTACTATCTCCATCTTCATTGTAGCGCAATATGCAAATGTTTCTTACAACTGTTTGTATTTCTGAGCAGTGTTATTCCTTTCTCCTCTGGTTTAACATCTCATTTGAACCTCTGATGGGTTAGTTGCCCTCCAAGAACAAGCCAGCTTCAGTTCAAATTCCTGAGTGCACCAGGCACGCCTCTATAGGGTCTTCTTCAATGGGGCATGCTCTTCCATATTCTTCTTTCTCCCTCACTGCCACAACCTGAGCCACAGAGTGGGGCAGCAGAGCTTTGACTATGCTGCCAGAGCACCACATAGCTGAATGTCTCGAGCGTTCCACAAATATCTGTAAACTCTTGCCTTAAAGGCGGTAATACAACATGTGAAATTGAGATCACAATTATTTTGTAAATAGGTAAACTGAGGACATGAAGCTAAGTCACTTTCCAAGGGCCATGCATACGCAGAGCTAGAAAGAACAATAAAACAAATTATGCCTAATAGGGTCCATGAGATAGAACAGCATTTTACTTCTTCCACTACTCAGTAGTCTTTAACAAATCCTTGTTATAAATTGTAGTGATCTTCCTGAAACCATTGAAGCTATCCCAGTTTCCATAAAGAGAAAACTGGCCTGTTAATTTTCTGATTTGCCTTTTCTCCCCTTGTCAAAAGAAAAACCCCGAAACCTTTTCATTCATGGGATCCCCGAGGATACAGTATTAAGTTCTGCAGGTACTTAAATTCAGAGGAGGGCACCTGCCTGCTTTACAGGATTTCAGGCAAAAAAAATGTTGTTTTTAACAAACACACCTTGATTTTTTTTTTTTACTTCAGGCTGCTGTTGAAATAGGAAAGTGCAGATAGCCCAGCCCCTCATGTAACTGGTAAACTCTCAGGGATTACAACAATATTTGAAATAGTTGAGTGCTGTTTCATCTGAAGTCTTCATTTCATTCATGCAGCCCCGTCTTGTTGCTCACCTTTGCTATGTGTGGTGTGTGAAATAACTAAAGGGTAAGCAGCAACTCAAAGAGCCCTTAGCAGCCACGCTGTTCAATCAGTTTGGCTCTGGAAATATTCAGCCAGAGTCGGATCAGATGTACAAGGAGCCTGCGAGCAGAGTTACATGATTATAAACATGGTATGAGAAGACACTGAGGAAAACAGAGCAGATGACAAAGGCACAATCTGCTTGCTGTTAACAGTGCCTCTGTAACATCACAGGCTATCTCTAAGCTATATTTTCCACTGCTTTGCCAGCTTGCAAAACTTCTAATGGAACGAGTTTTTCTGGCAGAAGAACACTGATTTTTATCTTTAATGAGCAGCCTCTCTATCATTTAGCTCCAGGAAACAGCTTCCTCGTTGTAAACTGCCTGAGAGTGCTGACAGCCAGTCAACTTCAAAAGCAGCCAGGAAAACCTTTCTTGCTAACTTTGGGAAGGAATTCAAAAATGCTGAAAGGTGCAGATGATGTTGTTATGGAACATGAGGACTCTGCTTCCCAACATGGAGAAATGACAAGCTGGGATATCAATGACATCAAACTTCCCCAGGTATGTGTTTGTGTCTTAGAAATTTATAAAGTTTTGACAAGTCATCTCCACCGTTGATCTTCAGTGCTTTCTCAGTCACCTATGGTTCGTTGCCTTTATTCTCTTTGCCACACTGAGGTATGTAACAGTGTTTTACTGGAAAGCTACAAAATCTTGAGCAAATACTGAAGTTTCCATGCATTGTTCCTTAAATGTATTACTGAAAGACCTGCTGATACTTGAAAAATAGCAATGCTGCAGACGTGTTGCCTTTCTTGTCCATTGGTGGATGAGGCACAGAGAAAGCAAGGGTGAAAAAAACCATCTCCTGCTGTAAGTACTGAATTAGAGACGTCCAGGACTTGCTTTTTGCCCTGGGTAGTGTTTTATGAGAAGTTAGCACAGCACACATGGCTGCTTTGCAACTCCAGGTGCTCAGCCTTGCTGCAGATCTAGCATGGAGGCAACACTCCTTCTGTGAAAACCTAGGAAAAGCTTGCTTTGGTTTTTGCAGAGATTTGCTGAGAGACAGAATAGTGATCTGTCCATCCCTCAGTCCTTTTCTAGCCCTCTTATCTAAAAATTTCAACCATGTTCTCCACTGAAAGCCTACAGCACCCTGCATGCAAACATTGTCTCCATGTCCCTCAACCCAGCACACTTGTGCCAGATTCTTCAGCATGCAGTTCTGCCTTTCACCTCCTAACTCTGCCTTCTTACCTGATCCCAGTCTCTTCCCTACTATGCCACTGCTGTTCACTCAAAAGCTCCATGTTCCAGACCGCCTTCTTCCCTGCCCACCACTCCAAGGTCACCTTCACCTGTATTTCAGCCTGGAGGCTTCCTCCACACCCTTCTCTACACTATCTGATGGCTCTAGAGGGAGCACAGGAGTTTTTCTCCTTTCAGTGGATGCTCCTGCTGCTGCAATGGCTCTCAGTGGCTGGGATCAGCAATTTCAAGCACTAACAAAATTCCTAACAAATTTTATAATCCTACAAGATTTTTTCCATCAAAACCATAACAGATATGTTAGGTGCTTTACAACTTACTGCATTTTACTGTGTTGACTGTACCAGATGAGGTGATGTGTTTGGTCCCTTGTTTGTTTGCTGTTTGGGTTTCTTCCATTGAGTTTTATTTTAATTGTTCCTTGCAGTGTTGCCTTTTGTTTTGTAACTTAGTCCACAGCCGTGAAAATAAAACCTGACCAGAATGCCCAGTTGTCTTTGTTTTGGACTTGAGAAAAGTCACTGTGGAAGTCTGTCACAGCAAAAGGCCAAAACGACCCAAAGTCCAGAATTAAACATCTACCTAAATGTGGGCGTAGTCTCCACCTGATTCAGTATTTTCCCTTTTTCCAGTGAACTGAGCCAAATCAGCACAGATGACTCAGTGTAACAGTGCTGCGAACAGCCTGAAAGGTGAAGCAGGATGTCTGCTGTAAAAGGCCAACAGTAGTTAGTCAGGTGGTGACTGCTGCCTGCAAGGAAATTATCTGCTATTTTACGTCAGGCACCTCACCTTCCTCTCCCAGCTAGGTCCTGTACTGAGCTGGACCCATGGGTGAGTTAAAACAGCCTCCCAGACAGGCTTTCCTGAACCTTTTGGACTCACAGGGAGCCATGGGGAGCTGCGGATTTTCCTCCTTTTCTCCACCATTCCCTCCTGCCAACCAGCATCACCTGACAAGGTCCTGGAAAACCAGGTCTGCTGGGCTCTTGCACATGCTCTTCTTTTCGTCAGCCTAAAACGTGGCTTGCTTTGGTCTCTCCACAGGATGTAAGACAGATAGATGGATTTCAAGAATGGCCAGATTCCTACGTAAAGCATATCTATAGCTCAGAAGATAAAAATGCCCAGAGGCACCACAGCAGCTGGGCAATGAGAAACACCAACAACCACAATTCTCGCATCTTAAAAAAGTCCTGCCTCGGAGTGGTGGTCTGTGGCAACAACTGCTCGACCTTGGATGGGAGGAAGATCTACTTAAGACCAGCCATATGTGATAAAGCAAGGCAAAAACAACAGCGTGAGTATGGACATGGCTGTTCATTGTATGGCAGTCATAAGTGATCTCAACAGAAAAATCAAGCTACAGGATACCCTTGGGATTATCCAACCTTTCAGCTGTCATTCTTCATATTCAAATGCAACTCTTGATTTTGGAACAATACATTTACATTTCTTACTTTTGGGGCTGGAGTTGTTTGCTTGCTTGTTTTCTTGCTTTTTTCTTTGTTAGTCTCTTTTTCTGATGGCTGGGGATTCATTCCCAGCCTTTTCTGGCCCATGAGTGAGGCTACTGTGCAGTGCAGCCAGCTTCCTGCTGCGCTGTTCCTACTGACCTGAACGTAGCTTCAGTATTGCGTGGGCCCAAGAGTAACTCAGGAGACAAGTCTTGCAGGAAAGAAGTTGCTCATAAATTCTGATGACTGGAAAATAGGCTTCATAGTCATGTCACTGGAGCAACACAAAGAAAATAGAGAACATAACCTGCACGCACATTTTTAATGAGACCATTCCAAACAATTGTTGACTGCTCAGTAGATCTAGCACATACTGATTTCTGGATCTGATGAACATCTTGGCTAAAGAGAGGTATTGCTCAAGCACTTACTGAGGTCAGAATGCTGTTCTCTATCAAAATCAGACAAGAACACATGAAATTCTGGATGCTGCCAGGTTAAAAAAACACTAAAACAGACCATGATAATACATGAACAAATCATACTAAAGCTATAATAGAAATAATTTTTGCTAATTATGTTTACTACTGGAACAGAATAAAGGCAGTCATTAATTTGCTTATATTGATTTTTGGTTACATTTGAAAATTTTTTTGCATTTTTTTTCTCAGTGTAGTTTCTGAACCCCTGAACAGAAGGTGCAGTCCACCCCCAATGAGCCATTGTACCACACGGGATTCATCTGACTGGTGTGGTATAGAAAATATTTCCCATCATTTTTGTTCCAGGGAAATGCTGTCCAAACTGCAATGGGCCCCTGAGGCTCCTTTCCTGCCGAGGCCATGGGGGTTACCCAGTTACCAACTTCTGGAGGCATGAAGGACAATTCATATTTTTTCAGGTTGGTGTAAAATTACACTGTGCAAGTTAATTGTAATTTTAAAGACTGGTTTTTAAGACGGATTAAGGACAGGTTTTGTTCAAATAAATAAAGGTCACTGAATATGACAAGATCAAATGACTGTGAGGAGAAAAATTTTCTGAGTGAGACAAGGTCTGAAGCAGCCTGATCTAACCCTGAACTTAGTCCTGCCTGAGCAGGAGGTTGAGCTAGACCTCCAGAGCTCCCTTCCAACCTAAATTAGCCTGTGCTATTATGATTCTCCAGCATACTAGATTTTTCAGTTAAGCTCCCATGAAAACCTCTTGATTTTGAATTACTTTGCCTCAGGTACATAGAAACCAACAAAGTGTCAGAAAATCAGAAACGCCATGTTCTCTCAACCTTTTCTCCCAGGGACCATGAATAAGCATGAGGTTATCTTAGAGCAGGAAATGGTTCTCCCCAAGGGACTATCTATGGAAAATGCCATCTCTGTGTTATATGTAACTTATATATGGAAAACAGTGTATGCAAGTGTTTAAATACTGGGCACTATTTCTGGAAGATGTAGTCCTAGTTTAGTACCATAACCATTGAACTGTCTCCTGTTTTCCAGTCTTTCACTTGTGTGCAGGTTAATAAAATTAATTCTCTGTGGAAGCTAAAGGAAATCAATGTTCTGATAAGCATATCTGAGGAGTGAGGACGATAGAAATGACTGCAGGGACACTGTAGCCAGGCTGCAGAAGACCCAGTGGCTTCAACTAGGGCTCTCGTGTGGGAGTCCTTTCTGCACATAAATATGGTGCACTGGTTTTATGATTTCAGGGAACTTCTACCCCATCACTCTTCATCTGGGACTATTTATTACTTGAGCTCACATTAAATAGGTCTTACCATAGAATCATAGAATGGTTTGGGTTGGAAGGGACCTTAAAGATCACCTTGTTCCAACCCCCCTGCCATGGAAAGGGACACTTTCCACTAGACCAGGTTGCTCAAAGCCCCGTCCAACCTGGTCTTGAACACTTCTAGGGACAAGCCAGCCACCGCTTATTTGGGCAAAAAATTTCTTCCTAATATCATATCTAAATCTCCTTTCTGCCAGGTTAAAGCCGTTCCCCCTTGCCTTGCCACTACATGCCCTTGTAAAATGTCCTTCTCCAGCTCTCTTCTAGGCCCCCTTTAGGCCCTGGAAGCTGCTCTAAGGTCTCCCCTGAGCCTGCTCTTTTTAGGCTAAGCAACCCCAGCTCTTTCAGCCTGTCTCCATTCCAGAGGTGCTCCAGCCCTCTGACAATCTTCATGGCCTTCCTCTGGACTTACTCAAGCAAGTCCACATCCCTCATGTGCTGGGGCCACCAGAGCTGGATGCAGTACTGCAGGTGGGGATCCCACAAGAGCAGAGTACAGGGGGACAGTCCCCTCCTTTGATCTGCTGGTCATGCTTCTTTTGAAGCAGTGCAGGACAGGGCTGGCTTTCTGGGCTGTGAGCACACATTGCCTTATTAAATACAAAGTGTTAAATCAGGCCATATGTGTGGGTTTGGCCCCTGCTACAAATTTTATTCCCATCAGATTAATAACAAGGTTGTTTCTAACTTTAACATACCATAATTACTTTCCAAAGTCCAAAGGAGCTCATGACCATCCACGTCCAGAAACAAAATTAGAAGCAGAAGCAAGAAGATCAACCCAAAAAGCACAGACAGCTTTTTCTCCGTCTTGTCCAAGATTAAAAAGAATACAGGAACTTGAGGTAACTTTTATTATTGATCAATGAAATTGTGGGTTCAGTGATCCATGGTTCAAGCATGGTGGAGGTTGTCTGGCTTTGGATCTGGGTGAGACCAGGCTTACATCTCCACATTCTGCCTCGCCATGATCAGACCAAGAAGGAACAGGGCTATTCTCAGCATCCTTCTCTGCTCAGCACTGTCATCGACTGCCAGCACATCCTGCCTGGAGCCTCTTTGGGCATGGTAGCAACATGGCATTACATCTATATTGTTAAACAAAGCAGGGCTGGAGGGAAAGCTCAATCATGTCAGTATTCTCATGGTCCCTGCCATGGACTTGGCCAGTGCTAACTTGTGCTCCTAGACAACATGCCCTGGCACAGGTCAGGAGAGCAGCATGTGCCAGTGACCATTTCCTGGCAGATTTTGGACCAGGTTGCATCAGGTTTGGGTCCTGTCACTGGACACAGCCTCCCTCCAACCCTAACTGTTCTATGATTCTGTGATTCTGTCTTCTTCCTTCCTTTCCTACAACAGCTTCCTGGTGTTTTCACTTTGAATCATGTGGGAGTAGGAACAGATCAAAGGTATCTTAAATACCTAATTACAGAGCCTGCTGTTCAGCTGGTCTGACTCTGTGCAGTTGGAGTGATACCATTTAACCTCAGCTGATTTCCCTGATCGTGGCTCTCCAGCAGGTTCTCTGGGGGTAAATAACCCATCATATTTGTGTTCTGCCAAGATTGGCTGCAGTACGACTAACTCAGGAGTCTGATTTGACACATACAATCCGTGTCACTGAATCTGCAAAAAGTCCTCTGAAAAGAGTTGATTTTAATGTGCTCACAAGAGACAAGGGAGGAGAGAACTGTGAGCCCAAAATAGAGCAAGTGATACACAGGATGTTTTCCCTATGGCGTCAGTGGGTCTTTAGCTGAAGGTGGGCTGGGTCCTACATCAGGTTGTTGGAATTTCTTCTTATGGTGAGTGGAGGACAGCTGAAAAGAGCTTCGCTACTCTGGCAGTCAGCAAAATCACTATAATTAAATGGATGCAAAAGTAGAATTACAAAGAAGAGAGACCTGTAGGTACTCATCAAAAATGGTACCACGGAATGAGTGTTCTGAAAGGAAGTAAAGTTTGCAAAATTATAATCCAATAATTAGGGCAATTAAAGAAGTTGTGAAATACCCAGAACAAAAGACCTGGAAGGATAATTCTTGTGTGCTGCTCCCTCCCTGAAGGAAATTTCTGTTTGTGGGGTAAAAAAATGTAAAGACAGGAAAATCTATTAGTTAGAAATACAGGTAGAGTCTTGAAAATCTGAAGCATAATATTATTGTAGTGAAAAGATCACCTCAGAACAATCAGTTTAAAAAATCACATGTAGCTTTTACAAACTTCATAGGAAAAATGGAACCTGTGGTGTCAAGCATAATTTAATTTTCAGGTGTTTATTTAATATATGCTGGCAGCAGGAGCTGAGGGCTGTGAATGCGAGGTCTAACATTTCTTCCAGTGTAAAATAGGCTTTGAGCAAAATCTGGTCAAACAAACCCAGGTCCGTGGTCTGCTGTTTGGTTTCCCCCTGAAGCCCACTGGCACTCCCCCACATGGAGGTTCTGCTACAGCACCTGCTTTGTTACCTGTATTAATGGAATGCTTTCACGAGTGTCTCATACAGAACGGGTGTTATGTCATGTTGCCACAAGACCCCTTGTTTTGCTAACCCATGCCATGCTTTCCCAAGTCTCTGACAGGTGCAGTGCCGACGCGGGAGGCTTTGCCTCTGCTTCTTTCCAAGCCAGACACTGACACGTCCCTGCTACCGGATCATTTCAGGGGACACATAAGCAAAAGCTCACGGGAGCCGGTGCTGGGCAGCTGCTCCGGGTGGCTGCCATGCTCCAGGGCTGAGGAGGATGGGGGCTCCAGAGAGGTGCTGGCCTGGAGCAGGAGCCCAGCCCTCGGGAGCAGCACCAGTGCCGGGAGGCCTGACAGCGGCCCTGCTGTCCCCTGCACAGCCCCTTCCCCCCAGCACTGCACCCACCCCAGCACCCCACACACCCTGCCCATGGAGAAGGATGGACATGGCCCCTTCAGGCATAGCACTGGTCCCTTGGGGGATGGATCCTGTGAGGACAAATCCCCGCTGGCCTACAACGGCTGCTGCCTCCCTCCCCTGCCCTACCCTGCACCTCAGGAAGGTCCCTGCCCCATGGCGAGTGGGGCACAGCACCACCAACAGCTCTCAGTGCCTCCGAGGGGAAATGAAGGACATGATGGTGAGGGAGGGCGCCACGTGGGTCTCAACTACTGCAACGACGGCATGTTTTTTAACCTGTACCCATTACGATGACTGGCTTTAAATGTCCTCTCCGCCCCCTCTTTTGGCAACAGGCCTAATTCTCTATCCCTGTTGCAACGCAGATGTCAAAGTGCTGCTGTGCTGATTCCCACCTTGGCTCCTCTTGCGGGGCTCAGGTGGGGCTTTCATACCTGAAGACTTGTCTTTGTTCAGTTTTTTTTAAATGTTGTATTTTCCCCCACTATTTCATTGGTCTAATAAAAGGTATCAGCTCTGCTGACAGACTACCTTGCTGCCATTCCGTTTTGGTAGCATTTCAATCCCCCTTGAAACGTAGCTTGTTCAAGTATGTGGGACTGTGGAAGGTGCAGACTAATGACCTCAAGGACCACAATGTCCTGTGTGCCCCTCTGCACTCTTCCAGCTACTTTGGGCGGTGAGGTAAGTTCTTCCACTGCACTAGCCCTGCAAAAGTATTGTGTAGAATCATCACAGCATGGTTTGGGTTGGAGGGGACCTATATTTCACCTAGTTCCACTCCCTCTACTATAGGCAGGGATATTACTCACGAGACCAGGTTGCTCGAAGCCCCATCTAACCTGGCCTTGAACACTGCCAGGAATGGGGCAGCCACAGCTTCCCTGGGAACTTATGCCAGGGCCTCAACACCCTCATAAATTTTTTTCCTCTTAAGTCCAATTTAAACCTACCCTCTTTCAGTTTTAAACTGTTGCTCCTTTTCCTATTACTACAAGCCTTCGTAAAAAGTCTTTCTTTGTGTTTCTTATAAGCCCCTTTCATATACCCTTGTAATAAGGTCTCCCCAAAACCTGCTCTTCTTTAGGCTGAACAACCCCAACTCTCTCAGCCTGTCTTCACAGGAGAGGTGCTCTCATCTTTGTGGCCCTCCTCTGAACCTGCTCTAGCAGCCCTTTTCTGCAGGGCTGAACCCAGTTTCATGCAAGTGTATGTTCAAGGTGCCTTGCTGCTTTTTCCACCCACTTGTCATTTCTTTCATTGCAAACTATAACAAATCCTTCAACATCTTTTTCCATACATCACCCCCTTTTCTGACCACTACCATAAGCTATATTTCAGCAGGATCTACCAGTTCCCTACATTTGTTTAAAAAAGTAAGTTGCTGAATATGTACTTCTTGCCTGAACTTAGTGGCCAGCTCAGAGATCTTTAGCAGAGTTTCCTTTATCTTTTCCCATAACTCACATCTGCATGACTTCCCTGCTTGACTAGCCTCTGCTGCTCTCTGGACTGTTTTAGGGGCTGCTAACCCTTGCCCCTCAGAGGGAGGCAGTGACATCCCTGCTGCCACCTCTGCAAGAAAGACCTGAGGGATGTCCTGTCTGGAGCCACATTTCATGGCTGGTTCCTTTAACCACGATGAAGATAGAGAGCCTCAGTTCCATGGTCCATCCAGCTGTTGGTCCTGACTGGGTCCTACCCTGCCTGCAAAAGCAAGTTGTGCCCTGAAGGTCAAGGCAAAATACACCTTTTATTGGGATGAGTCTAGGAGGACAGTATTAGTAGACAAATGGCAATAAAAACTTCACAGTACCTCAAACTGTGGTGTACCTTGTGTCCATCAAACACATTCAGTCTTACAATTGTTTTGTGGGGGTTTTTTTGCTTGTTTTCATCTTTTTAGATTCCCTCTATTTAAAAAAACTTTAGAATATATTAGTTACTAGGGAAACAACTCTCGTTGCAGAGGGTGGAGTTCAGAGACATTTATGAGACAAGAACAAATTATATTGGTAGAGTGTTTCAAAATATTTACTGCAATTTGTGAAACAGGGGATGTGTAGTGATTTATGTGGAAAAAATCTAAATGTAGATCACAAAGTGACAGTCTGCTGTTTTATGTGAAGGTCAGTTCACCAAACTTTCATTTAGTTTGTGAGTTACTCTCACGCTAATACCAAACTTTTATGACTTTTATGGTGATTCTTTGGATTAGTAAGTCAGAGAAGGAAACTTTGATCAAGGGTAATAAGGGTAATAACAACCTCCACCTCTAAGACAGAAAAAGGGAAATCAACAGGAGCTGTAAGTGCTTGTGCTTTGGAAGGTGAGCTGCGGGACTACAGGAACAGACAGCTCCCCTGGGGCTTCATGTCCAATAGCCAAGATTCCTCTGCAACTGCCAAACAACTGCCAAACCGGTCACACCAGCAAAGGACAGAGCAGGGCATGGACCCTGCCTCCTCTCATCCTGTTCTGTCTCATCTCACCTCTCCTCTGAATTCCTTACCTGTCCGCTGCACCACTGCCAGCACCACCTTTCAGCAATGGTACCATACAGATGTGAGGCTACGGGGCTCCTCGGACAGTGTTCCCACACCTAAGTACCATCAGTTCTCTTTACACCCACCAACCCCTTCCCCTGATTTTAAAATCTTCCAGCAAAGGCAATTTGATAACCAATCACATAACCTGTTACACGGCTTCACCCTCCCAATCCCAACTGTTACCATTTTTACTTCAGATTTGATTTTCTTTCCCAATGATTGACCATTTTTCCAAATCTTTGAAGATGTGTACTGTGAAACTCAGTAGAATTTTCACAGGCTTCCTAAAGGACTCTCAATACCACACCTCCCTAAAAGCCAACTGCTACCAAACCTGCCTTCCTGCCTGAGACGCAGGAAACTTTTTGTTGGTTTGCCTTTAAGTCTGAACCAAAAGGAAACCTATTCCTGTGAGCACAGCTCCACTTAGCAGCTACCTGCCATAGCAGGGCTGTATCTTCTTGCAGCTTGTGATCCCATGCACCCAGACCATCCCCCAGTTTGGGGGGATGCCCAGTACCCACTCATGCAACATCCATCTCACCCAGTAAGTTTCCAAAAGGAACATATTTCAGGCTCAAGGAGGACATGATATTCCTTTTTAAAAAGGAGGAAACTAAGACTTCATGATTTTTCTAGGGTTAAATGCAGAAAGGCTTTCCAGATTTATAAGCCGCCAGGGTCAGTTCAACCTTTCTGTGCTCTTGCAGTGACTTCTGTGCTGGCAGCAACTTCCTCCACTTCCTCTACCGTACAACCAGCACAGGGGGTCAATATAGTGCCAAATTTACACCCGTTTGGCTCAAAGTATGAAGACACCAATCTCGGCTCTGACCTTCTCAAAAATGACTTTTTGCAGCATATTTGGGATATGTGAAAAGAAACATATGCACGTTGCTGCTTCAAGCCTCTTTTAACCAGCTCTAAGGTATTGTGCTCAACTCAGTGATAAGAATCAGAGGTGAAAGATGGCACTAGATGCATTATCCTCTGCAATTTTAAGCAAATATACTGAACAAACCCATTATTCAGGGTAGTTTGCTGAAGAAACACCAACTGATATGTGAGGATCCACCCACAGGCAACCCTGGAACCCTTTTCTCTGCTGCAGAAAATGTTTTTTTGCAAGGCACAGCTGCAGTAAACTATTAGGAAGGCGGCAGAGGTGCAAGGAGGCCAGGATACGAATAATTGCACAGGCAAAATGTTTTGTTCTGCCTTATCGTTTTTTCAGATGGCTCTAGCTAATGCCAACATTTATGAAAATATCCCTACATGGCATGGATGTTCCACACTTGCTGCTTTCCCAGGGTCTTAGCTCTGAAAGCACTAGCCTTAACACTTAAGGGGTAATTCTTTGGGAGTAATCTCTGCACTTTTCTGAAACAAGTATTTTTAGCTACAAGGGCTCTTCTGAGGCCATCAGAGAAGCACAGCAATGTTGCTCAGAATGATACATTAGCCAGACTGTATCTTACAGAAGCAGTTTTATGGGTGTTTCTATGACTCATACAGCATTTTAAGATGAAATCTAGACATATAATCAGAAGAAGCTATCTTAATAAATAAAAGGCAGCAGCTGGACACCTCCATTTTTTAGCAAATTTATCCTCAGACTATCATTGTGAGAAAGGGAAATGCTTTTGTATCAGTCATACCAATGGGGAGATGAGAAGGCAGAACAGGGATGTGACCCACATCTCCCCAGCCTTGGGCACACATACCCTGCATTTCCTCAGGCCTTCCTTTCCTCAGGGCCTCTACCTTTGCATGTGAAAAGAGTTGCAGGTCAGACTGAGCACAGCCAGATGTTTCCACTTTCAACCCCTTGTACAAAGCTCCTGCCCTTTGGTAGGCTGAAGCTATAACTGCTTTATATGAACTGCAGCGTTACGGACTATTTTCTAAAATATGGTTTTACATGCATCCTCTGTATTTTTAGACAAAACAAGTGTGTCAAACTGCTGGTGGCAGGAAGGACTCCAGCTGAGGAAGCTTTAGGAGGTATACTCCTAAGTAATTGTATAAAGCTTTTTCTTTCTCACAGCCTTTGGGAGGTTTACTAATCCATTTGGCTGGTACTCCCAGCAGTTTTGCTCTGCTTCCCCTCAGTGTAATAATTTGGCCCTTTCTAAGTAATTATGGCCAAGGAGTTTGAAAGGGACCATCTAATGTGTTCTACTTTATTGCAAACAAAATGTAGATGTGGTCCCTGTGGTGAATCTCAGCAGAGATATGGCCCATCTGTGCCAGGAACAGGCCTTATGTGGCAGGGTAGTGACTGGTGTGGGGACCCAGGGGAGGCAAAGGAAGATGGAAAGTTTATTTAAGAAATAAAAATGAAGGCTGTCCCCTGGTGTCAAAGTAAAAATAGATGCGATCAGTAATCAGAGCTTGAATAGGGTATTAACATTGCACATCTGAACGCTCTAAACAGTTTGGACCTCTCTTGTGCAAGCTATGCTGACTGGCCCTGATTCAATACAATGCCCCTGTCTCCCTGCTGCAGTCCCTACGCACTATTGGGGTTTTCCCTTTCACAAGGTAAACTTCACCAACATTCTCACCTCGTGGAGCAAAGAGGACTCACCACTGATGCAGGAGAACCAGGTTAGGGAGCACTTAAACAAACCCTACATACATAAAACCACGGGCCCTGACAGGATGTACCTGTGAGTACTGTGAGAGCTGGCAGGTGTCATTGTGAGGCCACTCTCAATCATCTTTGACAAGTCAAGGGGACTGGTATAGCTTCCTGAACTGGGAGAAAGGCAGTGTCACTCCTTTCTTCAAG